TTTTTTGAAAATTCGAGCAGGCCCAGAAGCCGGAAGAGCTACCGGAGAAAGTGTTGTGCTGTGTGAGATTGAACAAGATCGATTTTGTCAACCACGGTCAAATACCCACCATTGTTAGGCTCGACGAAGAATGATTAGAACTGGGTGAGCTAATTAATGTATGTATATCAAGAAATAATGATTTATTATAAATAGTCAAATTAATAAATGACTTTGTTTTAGCATGGACATGTTGATATGTTCATGTACTAACACCCAAATATGTTTGTTGTGTTAAGCTGTAGTATTCCACAGCTTGTTATGTAATTATTTTTATTTTTTCTCTCTTTTGATGTCACCATATGAAGATTCAAAATAAAATTATATGCTAATTAATGGGTTGATGGCTGTAATTTTATGTGTCAGTATTTGATTCTATCTATTTTGTTTATTAAGTGTGGATTTTTATTTATTTATTTTTTCTGTGTTTTTTTGTTAAGTCCATTGTCTGACATCTGTATTCGTTATGGAGTTTCTAGTCCTCTTTATTGGGTTTTGTGTGTGCGATTGTTTCCTCAGTTGACACTTTTATTGTACTCTTTTGAGTTTACTAATTATTAATATAATTATCGTTTGAAAAAAAAATCACTAGTCTAGTGAACGTTTATAGTTCGATTATAAAAACTTTTGAAAAAATAAAAAGATCCTGACATGTATATATTATGTTAAAGTTTTATGTCAAACATGATATTTGTGTATAGCATGACCATATTTTGTTAAAGTTTTATGTCAAACATGATATTCGTGTATAGCATGATCGGGCTTAAGGGTAGACATGGTCATAGGTCGGTCCAGAATCGACCCATGGTCAACAGGTCTTGAACCGAGCATGTAGTTTGACCGAGCTAGTGTTGGGCCACATATATATATTTTTTGAACCGTCGAGCCGGTTTTGAACCGGAACCCGAATTGACAATTCTATTCTTTTCTCCACTTTTTTTTTTTTTTTTTTTTTTTAATTTTTCATTTTTTTAATTTTTTATTGTTTATCTTTTAGTGAATAACCGTCGGTTCATTGAACCAGTTCGAAACAGTTCACCAAACTGGCCTGCAACAGCTGATTCACCAAATTGGTCCGTGCATATGTTCTAGCCAGTTCAAGGCCGGCCAATTTTAGGCCTAAACTGGTTTTGACCATGTCTATTTAAGGGGCATACATAAATGTCAATAAAAGAAAAGGGGTAATTTGGGAATAAAAAAGAGAGTAACCCTAACTCAGTCGCACAGACAATATAAATATATGAAAAAATGGATGCGAAGCAAAAACGCAGCGCCGTAGGCCGAGCGCTTCCCCCGGAAGAGAAGGGGTGGCGTGGTATTCCACGGGAAAGGGTTTTTAATTCGTGGCGCACGTTAGTGCGATCGGCGCACATTAAACCAGAGTTGGGGCCTCCATGGCCGCTGTGCTGCTTTAGCTCTGCAGTCTTACAGCGAGGGGATTTGCCCTACATTTTTCCTTTTCGATTGTTCTTTTTTTTTTTTTTATATTTATTCTTTTTGAATTTATCTTTTTTATTTTTATAATTTTGTTTCATATATTGTTGATGGGTTTTCTTTAACTTTCAGAAAAATTGGAAAAAATAGTATTTATTTGGTTGCAAAACCAATCCGCTAAATTTCTTTTTTCCTTTTTTATTTTAATTTTTTGAAGTTTCAAGAAACATAATACAAGCCATTTGGTTTGCAATTTCATTTCTGCAGAAATTGAATTTTACTTCAATTTCTATAATTAAAGATAGAGGTAATTCAAATTTTACATTTATAGATAGTTTTTTCTATATAAATTTTCAATATTTTATTATTTCAAAGGTTCAGCTCAAATTTCAACAGATCATAAATTTGAAAAAATTGAAATATGAAAACATTATGCAATGAATCAATTGATCAAATCTACAAAACATGAAAAGTTGAGAAAGAATAAAAGATGAATCAAGGTCCTTATAAATTTATGGAGAGAAAGAACAATAAGAGAGAACAATATTGGACGCTCTGTTCATCATCCCATGCAGAAAAACTTAAAAAGTACTTCCTTTATTTCTGCAACATTCTCTGTAAAAATTGTTGCTGAGTGTATAATGAACAAAACTCCCTAGAAGTCTGGTAATGACTGTAAGGGAGAAAAAAAAAAAAGAGGTAGAAAAAAACAACTAATCCGATCCACAGTTTATACAGCATTAATCTTCTTCATCCATCCTCAGGAGCTTAAGAAGTCACTAATCTGCAAAAAAAAAGCACACCACATTTGTTGTTAATTCATACTATCAATGATAAAAACCTGTACTGTACCAATTCTTTATTTGTTGAGTTCAGATTATTGCAAAAAGGTCGCACCTTTATAAATTCCCTGTATTGTACTAATTCTTTATTTGTTGAGTTTGGATTATTGGAAAAAGGCATCACCTTTAAAAAACCGTGATCGACGATTAACTTGACGAGCTTGTTCATGCTGTCCCAATACAGTTTCTTGAGATTGATCAGTCATTTGCCTTGAGACTGGAACTCTACATTTCTTCTTGTTGCCATAGTCCTATGCAGTTTTGCAGATTACAATAAGTACGAGAAGCTATCTCTGTAGTTAGGTACTGCAAGAAAACTTCTTGGCAATTCCTCACCTCTGCAAGTTCTTGCAACAGGTTGGCCCGTTTGGTGGGCTTTAAGCTGTAAGCCCGGCCCAATGACTGGCCATCCGAGCCCGGTGGACCTCTTGAGATGGGCTGGCTGTGCAGCCTTGTGAACACATTCTGCTGCTTTTGTGGCTTGGCCCAAGTGAAGCCACTATAGGCCGACACCTGGACAGGTACTGATCGTGTGGTCGTTTTTTAGGTCGTCTGAGAGGCTTGTGATACTTCTGACTTTGTAATGTTTGGTTGTTTTAAGGTCGTTCGTGACTCGAAACTGGCTTTTCTCCTGTGTAAATTGGTGGTCCTTCGGGCTAGTTGACCCTTTTAGGAAAAAAAAAAACACAAAGTTGGTGTTGGCATTGACATTGTTTTAGCCTTTTAGGACCAAAAATGAAGAAAATTTGTGGAAAAAGCCTCAATCTTTGGGGCTAAAAGTGCAGTTTTCATATTGTTTGAATGATTTGAGAAGAAGAAAAGACCTCTGTTGGAAGCATTTTGTTAAATTCGCTCGATTCTTGCGAGGCTTTTCAATCTCTCCTTGGATTTCTTGAACCCGCTTCAGCCCGTGGACCGGCCCTTTTCCTGGAAAGAAATCGACCCATCAAATTGTTCAACAATTTTTCGAATATGTTAAATCTGGAAAAATTACATCGACCTCTTTGTTCGGTGGGTATTTAGGGGCTTTGTATTGAAATACTCAGAATCGAGCGCAGAAAATGCAGTCCCGCGTTTGTAAGGTTGGACCGAGAGAAAAGTCTCGATTAACCCGATTGCACCTCGGAAATTCCTTGCATCTCTCTCTAAGCGTGCTCTCGTAAAGCTGCCGAGGCTTGAACATTTTCGCCAGAGGAAATCGAGACTTTCTCCAGTAGTCGTTCGGTGGCGAACCACAGAGCTTGAAGATTTTATGCAACTGCTCGACCTAAATTTGTGAACGACACGTAAATTTGTAAAATTTTTTGCCGAATTTTTGAATTTGGCAATTTTTGCAGTTCCAAACCTCGGTTCTGCCCTTGAGAAGTGGCCTCCCGATAAGAAGCTCGGCAAAAACACAGCCCACGCTCCATAAATCGACGGACTCATCATAATTCGTGGACCCCAAGAGAAGCTCGGGAGGACGGTACCATAAGGTCACCACTCGGCTCGTCAATGGCTGCTGACTGCTTTCGGGCCTCACGAAATTCGCGAGCCCGAAATCGGCAATCTTCAAAATCCCTTTGTTATTCACTAAGATATTCGAGGTCTTAATATCACGATGCATTATGCCTCGTGAGTGGCAATGCTCGACTCCACATATAGCATTTAATCTATTTTCGAAAAGAAAAAAAAAAAAACAGAAAGATTAAAGAGTGAGAAGACATGAAAAATTTATGGAAGAAGGCGAATAATCCGAGAAAAACCTGTGATTCGGTGAATTTTATGTCGGGACACGATAAAAGCCCGGCTAGGTCATGCTCCATATATTCGAAAACCAAGTGTATGCTGCATGATAATTGGGAAGTGATAATGCCTTCGAGTTTGATGATGTTCGGGTGGTCGAGCCTGCGGAGGATCGAAATCTCCCGGGCCATGAATGTGATGCTGTCCGGTAGGAATGTGTCGAATTGGACTTTTTTTACGGCGACCATTTTACCGGTTTGCAAGTCACGCGCACGGTAAACTGTACTATACGTGCCTTGTCCAATCTGCAAAAAAATACATACTTATACTGAAAAATGCCGTACCTTTATTTATATATAAATTTGTTTAATTACTCGTGGCCGTATAGGCCTGTAAACGAGCCAAACCGAAATGTTAAATAAACGAGTTTGAGCTCGGCTCGTTTATTACTAATAATAAGTCGAGTTTGAGCCGATCTCGAGCTTTAACGAGTCGACTCGAAATTACCTCGTTAACCAAACGAGCTTTAAATGAGCTCGACCTCGGCTCGTCTATCAAACGAGCCGAGCTGAACTCGAGCCTTAATGACCCAAACTCTTTTAATTTAACAACACTACTCTTGTATGAAAGTATCTAAGAAAAGTATGGGTTTTATTTACCTTTTCTAACCTTTGGTAAGTATCCGACCTCAATGGGACCCACCCGTCGACGGCTTCTCCGGCCACCGCCGTCAGCCAGGCCGGCCATTCTGCCGCCGCCAGCTGGACCTCTGGCAGCCTCCTGAGTATAATCTCCGGCGGCGCCAGCTCATCATTCCTTTTCACGACGGCCTTCAAATCATCCGAAACATCGTCAAGATTGTGACTTTTTTCCGCATTCCAAGATTCCCTGTCGTCTGCCACGTCACCAGTCCCCTCCAACACCGGCTCCTTCTCGGGCTCCACATTTATTTCTTCAAGCTGCCCGACATGAATTGGGCTGGGCTCGGCTCGAGGGCCAGACTTGCTGGGCACCACATTTATTTCTTCAAGCGGCCCGACATGAATTGGGCCGGGCTCGGCTCGAGGGCCCGACTTGGTGCTCTGGCTGTGGCCCTGCAAACGGGCCCTCGCCTTCTTGGAGCTGACGCAGCCCATGGCCGGCTAGAACCCATCAACAGCTTTCGAAAACGACATGAATATGATGAACTTATTGGAATTTCAGGCCCGAGCCCAAAAATGGGGAGACCGACCCGAAAGGATATTGGAGGAGGTTGAGTTGAGCCCGGAAAAAAGTAAAACTGGAAAACAAAAACAAGTGGAGGAGACAAAAGCAGGAAAATGGGAGGG